CCCCAATGGGTTTGTTCGAATAATCAACGTTTTACTCTACGTGTACGTATATTAATTATAATACGTCATAATTAATTTATTGAGCTTTGATTTACCCTAGTGAACGTCTCCAACGACACAATGAAAAATCCATTGCCACTTAAACGACAAGGGACTTGAGATCTGTTGATAACGAACATGACATCTCGTCGACACGATTTTCCGCTGGTCGTCATTGGTAAACCTGTCCAAGGCCCACTGTACACGGCCGACTTTATGCTCGCGCTTTCTTGTACAATACAGTCGCAGCTGAACGTGAACATGAACAATTGACTCATGCAAGTCACAATATGAAAAAGGAAAACCAACCGTGTCGCGAAAGCCGCGTTCGCCTGTAAACAATATCGTGTTACTCGATAGACGTAATCATTTCCCAACTTTTTCTACTAACCATTACTACTTGATAACTGTCGAGACAAATCAGCAAGCTGAACAGTAAGACTTGTACAAAAGCAATCAGACTGAACACCTCGTTGACCGTTTCGCAATACGCGATAAGCGTTTGATGCTGTCGCACATAATTAATGAACAAATTGTAATATTTATCCGAATAAGTTGACGAATTTGTATCTGGCTTCTCATTCTTCGTCAGTAACGATTCGTTTTCCAAACCTGGCATGTTCGCCAATCTATATTGTAATATACGAAACTGACAAGCTGCGTGTAGATTAAGCATACATAAGCAGTTGTCGAAACAGATGTAACCCAGGCTAACTTGGCATGTAGCGAGAATCTATGAAAATTTCAGATTTCTAGAATCTACCGTTTTACTGAGACTAAGCTAATTACATGCAGCATAACGACAAATCCGACTGACATAATTAACATAGTAACAAAATTAATGTGTGTATTTCTTGAGTAACTTTTTATTGAGGTAAACGTCCCAATTTCTGTTCACTGGCTTATTTTTCTATAATTCCAAGCTGAGATATAATAAAATTATAGAACAACGCCTTACATGTATTAGATTAGTCGTTAGATTGCATTTCAATTAGGACGTATACGTAGATAATTTCGTATTTGAGAAGCAGATAAATTTAAATCGAACTAAAGTCGTATGAGCCACCTCATAGTCGATTTTAAATTCAGTTGACATTACTTGTATCAAATATGTTACTTCATAGTAAGGTGTCGTCGAAAGTGGCAAACCAATCAGCATGTCCCAAGGGAGAATTCTTTCCGACTCGTTTTTTCCAATATTTACTAAAGTAGAAGTGCGACGTGAAAAATAGAGAACAAAAGGAAAACGTATATATACCGGGCGTTAGCGAAATCGTGGTACGTGGTGGCAAGGGGATGATTCCTCACGTAAAATCTAATCGAAAACAAGAATATTATAATATATAATAGAAATATAATACAATATAAGGAATAAAAGAATTACTTATATTCCTTGTTCTCGACTAGATTTTATATGAAGAATCTCCTCATCCCCTTGCCGGTTGTAACACAATTTCGCAAACACCCTCTATATCGCATAATTACCGATAAGCGGCTTAGCGATGTATGAAAAAGAAGTAGCCTGGGTGCAGAACGTGAAGACACAAATGAAGAACGCGCACAGACGTTTCCAGTTGTTAAAAATCAATCTCTCGTAACTGTCGTCGTAGTCCACTTGCAAAAACTTTCGTTGCATGTGTATGATCAAACGGAACAGATTTTTTCTGTGCGCGAACAGAACGAATATTTTCACCAACGGCATTAACACTGTGATAAAGGTGCACACGGCGTAAAGACTGGCCTGTGAGTAGAGAAGAGACTCCTTCTGAGCTTCAGTCTCGCGATGATTTCTTCGAGAGATTGGAATCAACTGTTCACTTACGTGCAGATCACCCCACGCGAGATAAATATTCGACGATTGCAGATAGACGGCGAAGAAGATCGAGCCGACCGTGTAAACGAACATGACATCTCTGGCGCGTTGCTCGGACGGGCTGGCGGCCATCCACAGACCGCATAACTTCAAAAAAGCTGACGTGATGCTAATGGATATGTCTTTGCCCCTCGGAGAGCCCATCCGTATTGGCAATAATCGATTGGATAATGGACTCGTACGTTCCTATGCTTTTTGCAATATTGTTGCAGCCTGACGGGGACGATCAATCGCTTTGATCTATCGCCATCGTTTATCCGACCGCGCGCTTTGTATTTATTGCAAGTAACATCGTCATTAGTGACGACAGGGAACTCGATGTCACGGGAGTGGAGGAGCGAGACGGAAGAACGAGCGGTGCATACGTGGTTTTAGTTTAAGTACATAATACGCGGCCGATGCATTGACGAGTTATGCATGATTCAGTCACCGGCTCGAAACCCTCTGTGAAATGAAAAAGCTGTCAGCAGCTGCGCGGCTTTGTAGCAAGAGGATTTCGTTCATCGAACTTGGTAATTATAGTAAGTTGCCCTAGTCCTGAGTACGACAGTGGCAGGACAACAATTTATTGTGCAGTGTCATAGTGGAACGTGACGTGGTCAAAGACGAGATTTGTGAATTTTCCTGTTATTTAACTAGAAATTAAAAGACTGACGGGAACTGGATATGCATAAGTGGATACGTAAAACACTTTGTTGCTTCTAAACACAATTTTATTTACTCGATTAACAGTTCAAGTTTCTGCGTACTCGCAGATTTTGTTGAGGACAGCTCTTATTGTCGTCGACAGAATCATAATTTCATTTCATATCTACCTTTCCCTGAATATTTTAAGAATTGATCAGATAAGTTCGGCTAGCCTTCAGCGTTACTCCTCATCAAGGTGAAGTACGACGCCGCAGTGCTTAAAATCTGCGAGAAACGTATTATACTTTCAGCCAAGGACAAGCAATTAATTCCTAACAATTGAAACGAGAGTAATTTCGTTATGCTTATTCTACGTGCCAGCTTACCGAGGTGTAAGTCTCAAGCGACACAGGGAAAAATCCATTCGCTGTCAGACAACAGACGCGCCTGGCTCTCACGATAACCGTGATCAGATCTTTGCGTAACAATCTGCCAGGTTGGCTCATTGGTAAGATCGACCACATCGCCGAGTATGCTCCTAAAGCTATGCTCTCGCTTTTTTCTATCACTTCGTCGCAGCTGTACGTGAACATGAGCAACAGAGACAGAGCGCCGACTACGAGCAAGGCGAAAATCGAACGTGTTCCAAGGGTGGCATGGGGCGACTAAAGAAATAAAATAAAGTCCCAATTTCCAATTAAAAAAAAAAGCTGAACGAAGTTACGTAGAATCATTCTATCTTCGGTGTCTGAACGCGGGATTGACGATTTCACGTGTACCAGATACTAACCAGCAGTATCTGATAACCGAACAAGCAAATTAATAAACTGAACATTAACACTTGTACGAGTATGATCATCGTATACACGTTCTGGAGGCTTTCGTAGAAATTAATTAACGCTTGATGCTGCCGAACGCATTGCTTGAATTTACTGTAAATCCTGTCAACTGTTCTCAGCAATTGTTGTTCCGGATTTTTCTCGTCGACGTGGCTATAATAATCTATGTCGCACAACGTTTCGAGCCTGTATCGCACTATGCGAAACTGCCCGGCCAAGTGCACGGCCATAAGACAAAAAACGTTATCGAAGCAAAAATAACAAAGTCCTACGTAATACAATATTAATATCTGTAAAAGTTAATATTACGTATGAACGTGTCGGTTTGAAATACAAGTATCACTCGACTCAAGTGATTCCAATGTAATCTTGAATCATTTGTAAATTGTAATAGTGTGTCTGAACATGTGCCGAAGAAAACTGTTACTTGACGATATAAATTGAGACTATAAATAATTTAAATACCTGACTAACAATCATGCATTCATAGAAGGGCGTCATCAACAATGGTTTTATCCACATATTAAATGGAAGTCTTCTTTCGGTGTCGTTATTTTGACTTTGTGCTGTACAAAACATAAGCATTCATGTACACAATAATTTTCATACAATTTTATAGTTTTGTCATTATCAAATTTTTCCATGCTCGAATTTGCTATCGATGATTTCTCCAACTCACAAAGAAACGGTGTTATTATGTACAAGGCCATAACGCACATTCCCACGGTTGTAACACAGCAGATGAAAAAAATGCAAGTTCTCCGGCACTTATCTACAATATTTTTCTCATGTGCATCGTAGTCGGCGGTCCAGAACTTCTCTCGCATGTACACAATCAGGTTTAGGAATTCTACTTTGTGCAGCAGTACAATAGAGACCTTCACTGTTCCTATCCACAGGCTTAAAGAGTTGGTGATGTTGTAAAGAATGTCCTAAAATTAGCGCTGGTAACATCCAGTGATCAAAATTAAAAAGTTGTAAAAGTGCAAGCGAGTCGGTGGATTACTTTCGTGCTAGCAAGTGCAATTTTCGTTTTAATTTAACGCCACAATTCGAAAAGCTATCGATGCACTTACACTATCGTTGATCCAGGTGAAATACAAATCTCTTATTTGAAATATCGTAGCTACAGTGAGAAAAATGTACGTAAGCGCGATCATTAAATTTCTTCCATATTGTTCAAGAGTGGTTTCGCACATCCATATGCCGAGATTCTTCAAGAGAAATACGCACAATTTCACTGATATGTCCGAACGCATTCCCGTTTGCATGTTGACTGACGTACTGGCGGACATGTGGAACCGTCGTGCCTTGCACGGTGTTATAAACAATTAATACGACGTCCAGCGTTCCTTTGATGTGTCAATTCTTTGTGGTCATCTGTCTTGACCACTCTTGAGTACTTATACTTGACACAATCTATCTTTATCGGCGTAGAAAAGAAAAATGAATTAACACCCTTCGTTTCCAAGCGTGGTAGTAAACCATAGTTGACAGTAAAATTGCACGGAGTGCATATAAGTGCAATATAATTTACAAGTCCTTTTGTACTTGTCCATCAGTACTCTATGTACAGCGATATTTCACACTTCGAGGTCTAACTTTGCGGAATGAGAAACGTGACACATCGAAAATAATTGCCACTTGGCAATGGGAAGTTTGAAAATTCTGTCTTCCTCCCACATCTGGTAATCAGTGCACAAACATCGCGTACTTAAACCGAAGCACAGTGTTCCTACTGAAATACATGTTTTGAAGACGATATACTTTAAATATACGGGAATAAGATTCATATGTAAAGTAGTCGACCATCATTATTATATAAAACGTTTATAGAGTATTATACGATTTTTATGTGTCAAATAATGTGGTTGCATGCAAACAGCAAGTTCAAAATGATTTCTTTATAATCTGTGATTATTATTGTTTAATAGGATGTAGTAGAAACTAATAGGATGTATGAGGACACGCAATCTACGGATCATAGTGCCACAAGCGGGACCTGTTTTTATGGTCGGAGGGACAGATATTGCCAGGTCGTAAAGTTTGCCAAGTAGCTTATAATGCGGACAACCGCAACACCTTTTCTTTAGGGTAGCTAGGCTTCTCGAGTCTCGTTCAGGGCTGTACGATGTCAACTCGGTATTAATTTTTTTCAACGAAGGAACTGACGAGTTTATTAATTATGCAAGGACTTCAAATAAAATGGTAAAATCTAAATACTGTTTCAATTAATTAGGCATTAAGATTGAGTAAATTATGTTTTATTTTTACATAACATGAATATGGATTAATATGTACTAGCGAGAAATAGTTGTTATGCATTTTCCTCGGTCGATTCTCTCAACAGAGTGAAATACGACATTGCCGTACTGAGAACCTGGAACATGTGATTTAGTTCATAAATTAATTGAAAAGTATTAAAAAAAATAAAAATCAGGACTAGTGTTTTTATTAGCAGTTTTGCTCCAGTTTTAAAGGATAACATGATTTGTGATTAATTACCTTCGTGTAAGTTTCGAGGGAAACAGGAAAGAATCCGCTGGCCGTTAAGAAACAAGGCTTGCTAGCTCTCAAGATGATCATTACCGCGCTTCGTCGTACATCCCTCCCGACGTCGTTCATTGGCAGGGGTGACCAACCGCTCATATACATTGCGTCGCCTACACCGTTGCTCTGTCTTATCAAACAGTCGCAACTGTAAGTGAGCATGTAAAGCTGGCAGAGAGCGGCAAATGTGTTCATTGCCAAAGTGACATTCCTCGAGGCTGGAGTATCCATCTATTCCAGTTAAAAATTACGTACATTAAAATGCATTGCTTCTCCGATTAAACTTTCATACGTTATATCGAAAAATATGTAAATAATTCCGTTGAGAAAAATAATTTCGTAAAATCTTTGATAACAAATGTGCTGCCTTTACGTATACGAAATAAAAGTGAAGAATTGACATGTTCGTGTAATAATCCAATGTTGCATGACATACTAACCAGGACCAGCTGATATCCGAGCATGCATAGTTCAAGAGCGAGATACACCACCTGGCCACCTATCACAAGTGTAAATACATTCTCCAATTCCGCGCAATACGCTATGAGCATCTGATGCTTTCGTATATAATATTTTAATTTCATGTTAACTTCGTTCACATATTTCCACGACTCTTTGTCTACGTCAGACAAGGTCTCGGACGTTAAGTCCATCAATTCGTATCGTAGTATACGAAATTGTGCAGCTGCGTGGAGGCTCATAATGCACAAAATACTGTCGAAACACACGTAACATATACCGACGTAATAGACGCTAATCATCTGTATAAGTGGAAATTGAGGATTGAATAATTATTTGTTTTTACCTTCTGTTCGGTTTTAATTTATTTAACAGAATCAAACTTTCGAGGAAAATATGAGCCATGAAATATGTTCACACCTGTATCGCAGTGATCGTTTCGTAATAAGGTGACACGGTTATTATAGGCAAATCGATCCATACATTAAACGGTAACACTCTCTCTGATTTATTTTTCCCGTAGTTCACTGAAATAAATATAAATAATGAATACTAAACGTTTTGTATTCTGTTCCATTGTCATAAAGGTGTAAAATGTAAGAAGGGAAAGGATGAGTGAGTAGGGAAAAATTGTAAACCAAGACCATTTCTGGGTCACTAGACTGGAATATAACTAATAGTCTATTTTGTTAATCCTTTTAATATAGGAACGCAAGCTAAACGTTTGACTTCATTTCGAATTGCATTCGAAAAAGATATAGAATTTATTTTAAGTTCTGATTTACATACCCATAAGTGGCGTTACCATGTAACCCATGCAAGTTCCGTTTATCGACATGTTGAGGCTGATAACGAGAGCCGCGCATATTTTCTTGCAATCTTCGAAAATTAATTTCGCCTTGCCCGTATAATTCACGTCCCAGAAAGTCTTCTGCGTCAATTTAATTATATCGTGGACCTTTCCTTTATGCAGGTATATAACACCGATTTTGAACACGACGATAAACACGTATGATAAATTGCAAGCTACATAGATGCTTTCCTGAAACGCGAAACTTCGTCACTGTATTTCATTTTAAAAGTACACGAGAAAATTTGTTTCATTAAATATTTGTTTTGCACTAAGCAAGGTATCGTGTTCCAATTTAACTTCCGAGCACTCACGTCGAAGTTGTCTCTTCTGAAGTAAAGATCCCTGATTCCGAGGCACCCAGCGAAGAAGAACATCTGTCCGGCCATCATGAATGCCATTTTTCGGTTTCGTTCCTCGGTTTTGTCAGCCGCCAGCCACATACCACAGGCTTTCATTAGGTAGCTCGTCCAGGTTACCGAGATGTCTCTGTTCTTCATGGTGGAGAACGACTTGTCGAAGTAATCATAACGAGCTACTCCGCGTCGTACATTTAATATTACTCAATCGATACGTACATTATACGGGTTGATATCCTGTATTTAATCGTAACAATGCACTTGTTCGTTCTTAGTTTCCTCACGCGTAAATGAAAGGGTTGATTGCGTATACCTTATACGTGCATTGTAGTCGCAGGTAAAGTTGTAAAGGCCTTCGTAATTGTAATTGCATTATTAAGATGTTCGATACTACCGGTAGCTGTCTTCAGTCATCATCAGACGTTCTTTGTGTCCTGATGGTGATTATAGTCACGCTTTATTGAACGCTTATTATGTTCTACTGCCTAGCCGTTGATACTCTTCATTAGTTTTCGTCTTGACACTCTATCCGGTCAGTGGAAAAGTTCTAATACGATCTTCGATTTACCTTTAATTTGCTCTTTAGTATAGGAAATGTTACTCGTCTGAATAGTTTCTATCATTTTCTATGATAATTTATCAAAGTTCCGGTATCATATTATTGTAAAATATTACGTATAAACCTTAACTTAGAGATAGGTGTGAGTTACATTTAACAAAAGAGGTTTAATTTTACATAGAAAAAGTGTTAATATTTATTTAAGTACATTTTTTGCTATTTTCTTTATTTTCGTAGAATTGAGAATTAATTTTTTTTATTGAAATGATGCTTTTTTTTATCTTGATTGATGTAATTTACGAAAACTGCAACTTCCAAAAGAAATATGCTGGCGGAGTATCATCTAAAGGAAGAAAATTAAATATTGCACTTCTATTTTCTTAGGAAACGTACACGTGCTTTATTGTAATGATAACGATATTATAGACAATCATCGATTAATTAAGGTCTTGTATTATTTATTATGTTTAATTTGCGTTATCTACGTTGTTTTTCATCAACGTGAAGTACGACATTGCCGTACTTAAAATCTGTAAGAAAGAAGACATCGACAATTAATTATGTCAAGTCTTCAGGTATTGTATTATATTATATTATTATATTTAAATCTAAAAATTTGCATTAATTTAAATGAATTTAATAAATTTAAAATCAAATGCACACATATAGAAACATATTGTAATATTGAAAATTCGGTTCTATACCGTTTAAAAGTATGAAGAAATGATATATTACCGAGGTATACGTTTCTAATGATACAGGAAAAAATCCGTTCGCAGTCAGACAACAAGCACGTCTCGATCTGTTAATAATCATGATCAAATCAGTTCTAATCATCTTCCCAGGTCTATTCATTGGCATATTCGTCCACATTGCTGAATACGCGCCTATAGCTACGTCACCACTTCGCTGTATTACAGAGTCGCAACTGTATGTGAACATAAACAACAAGAACAACGAGCCGACCAGGAGGAAAATGAAAATTGATCTTCTTGCGGAAACAGTTTCAGCCTACGGGTAGAAGAAACATCTAAACTTTATCCAACATTTAAGAGTAAGTTGATTTTAGTGGAACGAGCAAAGCTCAAGGAACTAGCCCTTTGCGACGAGCCGAGAAGACGATAATGCTCACTAATTTCATTCCGAGTATTTAATTGTTTTCAAGATCTTATCTACTAACCAAAAATATCTGATAGCCGAACAGGCAAATTAGGAGACTGAACATCAGCACTTGAAGGAGAATGATCATCGTGTAGACGTCTTCTAGTCTTTTGCAAAAGCTGATCAGTGCTTGATGTTGTCCAATGCACTCTTTAAGTTTTGCATAAGTGTTTTCAACGTGCGTTAACCATGTTGCTTTCGGATCTTCTTCATTTACGTAGCGTTTCGCATCGCACAACACTTCGAGTCTGTATTGCAGTATGCGAAACTGGCCAGATAAGTATATGGCCATAATGCAGAGAATGTTATCGAAGCAGAAATAGCATACTCCTACTACGTACAGATTCATTACCTCGAAAACATATATAAACATTATTCTTTATTCCTAAATTTCTTATCGTAAATCGGCGAAAATACATTTGCTTTATAACACTAAAAATACAACTTACTACTGGCATTACTTGATATAAAATTGAAATATAAAATGAGATATTGAATTGAGGTGTTAATTAAAATATTTAAGAAATAAAGAATAGAAATACCTGTGAAGCGAACAGCATGTAATAGGTGGTAGGTGTTAGTTCCACCCAACAATTAAATGGTAGCTTCCATTCTGTGGTATTATCGTTCACTATAACAAATGTATAAATGCACGAAGTTCTGTCTAACCGCTAATATTTGATTAATCGTTTATCTTCTTGCAAACGTGAAAATATACATATATTTAAGTAATATTTGTTTATCGAATTCGAAAATATAACTTACCAATAAATGGAGTAACCGTGTATCCCATAAAAACGAATACTGCAAATAGGCTGACGCAGAAAATGAAAAAACCACAAACTTTTCTACAGTGAATTAGAATTTTCGCCTCGTGACTATCATATTCAGCGTTCAGGAAATTCTCTTTCACGTATGTAAGCATTTTTAAGAATTTCACTTTCTTCATCAGTATTATGTACACTTTGATCATAGCCATTACGAGAGTTAGAGTATTAGAGACTACATAAGGTAGATCCTGAAATGAATAAGGATGTATGTACGTCCTCCCAAAGAATTTGAAGTTCTGTATTATAAATCGACAATAAATGAAAAGGGACTTTAAAGTTTCATTATTGTTGCGATTAACGAATAACTGTAAGCCGTAAAAATTATCATGTAATGTTAGATACACTTACAGTAGGTTTGTAAATGTACGTGAAATAAATGTCTCTGCCTCCAATGATTATTGAGATAATCGTACAGGTCAGGGTTCCAGCAGTCACAACTTTCCTTAGTCGTTCTTCAGCGAGATCTTTCGCTGTCCACAGGCCGATGGTCTTTAAAAGTAAAGTACATAACAGTATCGATATGTCTGAATGCTCCTTGCTTATCATCGCGTTGAAACCCTTATCTAAGAAACCCTTATCCTGACACTTGGAATAAAATTTCTTTCTCTCGAACAAATGATTATCACCTACGACTGGCGTAGCTTTGATTATTCAATTCTTTTTATCCATCGTTTCTCAGCTCATCGTATCTCCCTTTATAACGATTTCCCTGTCATTAAAACTCGCGTGAAACATAAAAGATAATTTGTACTTGTCAGTACAGATTTAAAGTCTCGCGCTGGGGTGACTACATTATTCATAAAACGATGAGATCAATGTTCCCTCCCGGATGGTAGTTCCCTACTCTACGCAGTTTACCTACATATCTGTTCAACGATGCTTCGCTGAATTAGAATCAGCGTTACGTGGGTTGAAACATTCTGATTCATGTAACGAGGAATGTTCTCAAGGGATTTTGAAGTGATGTTGAAAATCATCTATATCCACATTGTTGTGAAACTAGTTCTCGTTTTGAATGTATTAACAATAAATACAAGTAATAATATCACTATTCAACATATTACATGGCTGTACTCATATGCAAGTGTAAGTAGCATTCTGTACGTTACGATCTAGAAGCCTCCTCCGTTTGGCTTAATAATGTAAAGTACGACACTGCGGTACTCAACACCTAACAGAACAAATATGTGTATAACATAATTTTTAATTTTTTATCAAATTTTCTTAACATTTCTCTACGCATGTTTAAATTCTGTTATTGTAACACGTTACCTTAGTGTAGGTTTCGAGAGACACAATGACGAATCCTTTAGCTGTTAGACAAGAGGCCACGCTAGATCTCATAATGAAAAATAGTAAGTCCTTCCGAAATTGCATTCCGCTCGTCCTGGCTGGTAAATCCACCCAAGGTCCGTTGTACAGTGCACTACGCACGTTCGTGCTCTCTTGAATTATGCCATCGCAGCTGTAAGTGAGCATCAACAGCTGGGACAAGCAGTAGGTCAAATGAAAGCTAAAGATCAAACGCGTGGTCAAACTTGCGTCGGGCTGTAAAAAAATGTATAAAACTTGTACATAAATATTGTATATAAATTAATACATAAGTACTAAGTACTCATGTAGTATAAACTTTTTTTAAGAATGAAAATTCAATTTTGAAGATTTCTAGTATTTCAAAATACAGCAAATTAAAAGATTAATAATGGCAGCTATTTATCACTCACCATTAGTACTTGATAGCCGTCGAGGCAGATGAACAGACTGAACGTTAACAGCTCAGCCAAGATAATTTCAGTGAACACCTTTTCGATTTTATCGCAATATGCTAAAAGCGCTTGGTGTTGCCCCACGTATTTTTTAATTAGGATGTAACACTTATCCGAGTAACTAGAGGAACTCGATTTTTCAGTTCGCTGTTTTCCCTCATCTTTCAAATCGGGCATACTGGTTAATCTGTGTTGAAGTATACGGAATTGGCTAGCTGCGTGCAGATTCATAATGCACAGACAGTTGTCGAAGCAAAAAAAAGTTATACCGACGTGGAACACCGACAAAGTCTGCGGACATGTCAGAATTCTAAGACCGATCATAGTACTGAATTCATGTCAGAGTGATTTTCAATCTCTTTCTCAAAAATCATATAATTGATTAAATAAAATTGAATATTAAATGATAATAGGGAAAATACCTGAATGCAAAATATTATTTCATAATACGGTGTCACTGTCAACGGTAAGTCGAGCCATATATTAAATGGAAGTACTCTATTCTCTGTCTCATTTCTACTAATATTAGCTAAAACAGCATGAAATAATAATATGTTACAAGACAATGAGAATCGAAAATAGTATCCGAATATAAAAAAATATTGTAGACTAAAATTATTATGTTATACAGTACAAATTTAGCTTACCGATAATTGGTCTGATGATATAACAAAATACGCACAATTGAGCGAGAAGCGTGAAGAGGCAAATGAAAACGGTGCACTGTCGTTTGCAATTAAATACAATTTTCTTCTCATAATCGTCGTAATCCGCGTGCAAGAAGATTCGTTCCAGGTACAAAATCAAGTGAAAGAAATCTTCTCTATGCATGAACAAGACAATTATCTTGATAAATGGTACTATCGTAGACAAGACAGTGCAAGCCAGGAATATGCAGTCCTACGGACAGATAAATGTACACAAGAATACTTCGTTCATTATGATATATGTACAATATATTTTAAAATTTCTTATAACATAAGTGGTGCCAATTGCCAAATATAAAATTAGGGTTTCAATATAATCGTGTGTTTGATGTTTGAAGAAGAGATCAATTGCCCATGTACTTACACTGAAATCGCCACATGAATAGCACATATCCTGCACCAGCACGACGACAGCGATTATCAACATAAGCAGGGTGTAAATGAGCGTGATATTCCTGATGCGTTGCTCGGCTCCATTCGCGAACATCCATAATCCGACGAGCTTCATATATATTGACGCTAGGTTGATAGACATATCGTCGGAGTCAAAGAAACTCATGTCGCTTTACTAATACCGGTTGCGCTGACGTTCGGTTAAAATTTCTCCGAGTATAGATTACTACGACGTATCGAGGTTTATCAGTCGCTTTGATCAGTTGGCATTCTTTAATCACTGACCGTGCTTATACTTACCGCGTATTATCATTTTCATTGAATCATTTAATAGCCATGATGGATTCTAAAGAAACCGGAGAACAGAAAAGAGGAAGGAAAGGAAGACACTCGATAATTGAGTATCGCTGTGGCAAGCAATTGCGACTAATGTATAGATGGAATCAATGAGTTATGCATGACGTCGGGGCTTAGTAAGATCAAAAAACTATACTCGCTCTATCATAAGGAAATTTAAATCGCTAAATATCACATCGTTAAGGAACATCAGTTAAGAGAATTGTCTGTAATTTGCTGTTCTCAGAAGTAAGGAAGGGGGTAGTCTATAGCGAGGGAGATATGCTAGACTAACAAGTAAATGGGCCGCAAATTTGAATTACAGTTCGCTACGTTACTTGAAATTGAACAGTGCGTTGAACAATAGTGATTCACGTCACGAAGGAGATAGGATGTGCTCAAGATATTTTTAAGATCACCAATAACCACGTTGTTATAAAACTATTTCCCTTTGAGAATTTATTAACAATAAATACAAGTAATAATATCTCTATTTAACATATAATACGGCTGCACTCATCGGCAAGTGTAAGTAGCATTCTGTACATTACAACCTAGAAGCCTCCTCCGATTGGCTTAACAATGTAAAATACGACACTGCGGTACTCAACACCTGTAATAGAATGAGTAACTTCATTTTTATTTTTTACCCCACAGAAATAATTTAATGGATGCACTTCAGTAAGCTTTTTCAATGTTTTCCAACATTCCCCTACACACATTTAAATTTTGTTATTGTACCTTAGTGTAAGTTTCGAGGGACACAGTGACGAATCCTTTAGCTGTCAGGCAACAAGCCTCGCTAGATCTCATAATGAAAAATATTAAGTCCTTTCGGAATTGCATTCCGCTGGTTGTCAATGGCAAATTTACCCAAGGTCCGTTGTACACTGCAATACGCACGTTCGCGCTCTCTTGAATAATGCGATCGCAGCTGTAAGTGAGCATCAACAGCTGGCACAAGCAGGCGATTAAATGAAAGCTAAAGATGAAACGCGTGGTCAAACTTGCGCCGGGCTGTAAAAAATATATAAAGCTTGTACATAAATATTGTAAAAGTTAATACATAAGTACCAAATGCTTGTTTAAAAAATGAAAATTCAATTTTTAAGATTTCTAGTATTTCAAAGCGTAGAAAATTAAAACACGAAGAGGGGCAGCAATTTATCACTCACCATTAGTACTTGGAATCCGTCGAGGCAAATGAACAAACTGAACGTTAACAGTTCAGCCAGGATAATTTCAGTGAACACCTTTTCGATTATCTCGCAATACGCTAGAAGCGCTTGGTGTTGTCTCGTGTACTTTTTAAATAGAATGTAACAATTATCCGAGTAATTAGAGGAACTAGATTTTTCGATTTGCTGTTTTCCCTCGCATTTCAAATCGGGCATATTGGCTAATCTGTATTGGAGTATACGAAATTGGCTAGCCGTGTGCAAATTTATAATGCACAGACAGTTGTCGAAGCAAAAAAAACTTACACCGACGTGGTACGCCGACAAAGTCTGCGGATAGGTCAGAATTCTAAGACCGATCATTGCACTGAATTCATGTCAGAGTGATTTTCAATCTCTTTGTCAAAAATCATGTGACTGAATGATTAAGTAAAATTGAAAATAAATTGATAACAGGAAAACTACCTGGATGCAGAACGTTATTTCATAATACGGTGTCACTGTCAACGGTAAGTCAACCCATAGATTAAATGGGAGTACTCTATTCTCTGTCTCGTTTCTACTAATATTAGCTAAAACAGCATGAAATAATAGTATGTTACGAAACAATGAGAATCGAAAATAGTATCCGAATATAATAAACTATTGTTGATTAAAATTATTATGTTATACAGTACAAATTTAGCTTACCGATAATTGGTTTGATGATATAACAAATTACGGTAAACTGAGTAAGAAGCGTGGACAGGCAGATTAAAATGGTGCACTGTCGTTTGCAACCAAACAGAATTTTCCTCTCATAATCGTTGTAATCCGCGTGCAAGAAGTTTCGTTCCAGGTACAAAATCAAGTGAAAGAATTCGTCTTTATGAATGTACAAGATTATTATTTTGATAAATGGTACTATCGAAGACAAAACAGTACAAACGGCGAAAACACAGGCCTACGGAGAAATAAATATACACAAGAGTACTTCGTTTATTATGATATATTATACATCTGTATAATAAATGTCCCAATTTCTGTTCACGTCACAATGTCCAATATTATTCGAACAAATATGATACAAAATGTATGGCAGATTATAAGCAGTAAGGTCAGACACGAAGGGGTGGCTACACGGGTTTACCCCAGAGATACAAAAAATTAAAAATCAAATTGTTTTACACTAAATCCACGTACTTACACTGAAATCGCCACATGAATAGCACATATCCACCACCATCACTGCGACAGCGAATATCAACATAGACAGGGTGTAAATGAGCGTGATATTCCTGATGCGTTTCTCGACTCCATTAGCGACCATCCACAAACCGACGAGCTTCATATAAATTGACGTTAGCCCGATGGACGTATCGCCGGAGTAGAAGAAACTCATGTCGCGTTACTAATAACTGTTGCGCTAACGTTCGGTTAAAATTTCTCTGAGTATAGCTTATTATATCCTATTGAGGTTTATCAGTCGCTTTGATCAGTTGGCATTCTTTATTCACTGACAGTGCTTATACTTACCGCGTATTATCATTTTCGCTGAACGATTTGATAGCCAGGATGAGTTCTAAAGAAACCGGCGAACAGAAAAGAGGGAGGAAAGGAAGACACTCGATAATTGAGTATCGCTGTGGCAAGCAATTGCGACTAATGTATAGATGGAATCAATGAGTTATGCATGACGTCGGGGCTTAGTAAGATCAAAAAACTATACTCGCTCTATCATAAGGAAATTTAAATCGCTAAATATCACATCGTTAAGGAACATCAGTTAAGAGAATTGTCTGTAATTTGCTGTTCTCAGAAGTAAGGAGGGGGTAGTCTATAGCAAGGGAGATATGCTAGACTGCTAGACTAACAAAGAAACTTAGTCAATCTTGATATGGCGATTTCAATACACGGGATGTAAATCTTAGAAAAAATGATTAACACGATCGTAATCATTCATGTTAAATAGGTGATAACAGCTCTAAAGGTTTAGTGCCAGTGTCGCCATTGTACCCTTAAAAGCCGGGACCCGTATAATTTGTCCCTCGGCCGGAAAGTGGGGACGACGCGACCATGGTGGGGTCTGGTACTTGATGGGGATATGCTAGGCATGGTCAGCGATGGCGCACGAAGAGAATAGTAGTGGGGATCGAAATACGGGCGAAAAAGAGGGGACGCGAGCCGTGCGGGATAAATCATACGATCCCTGCGTATCGCAGATGTATCGTTTGCTAAGACGTAATGGCCGCTGTAAAGAACGGAAGGTTTATACCTGACTTGCGGCTGTTTTTTTACGACCGTAAGAATGCTTCAGTCAGGATACAATTGTATTTATGGTATCCATAAAAGTATTCAATTAGTGAAACTGATATTTCGCTCGTTTGAGGCGAAGTCGTAAATTCGTCAGGTAGTTGAGGCCTAAAGTATATTTTTCAGGTCGATGTCTTATGTACAGGGTGTAAAAAAGTGATATATTACGAACATTATGGCGGGACGCTACACTTTTGAATCGGTGAAGGTCTCTAAAAAATGGACCACATAATTGACCTTTGTAATTTCGAAGCGGTAAGCCTATAATTTCATACTTCCGGCCACCTTTAACACATTAATCCTTTCAGTAGCTTCGTTTCCTGTATCAGCAATTGATCGTTTTACTTGCACAAGAAATTATTATACTTCGGGTAGGAAACGTGGGAAAAGAGATGGGTAGGTGTCAGTCGATGAATTATTCAATTTCGAAGGCGGCCCGGTTCGACAGACCACCATTTGTGTTTCACTCTTTGACAGTGACACAGGATGCCCTGTAATTCGACCATATGGAATCATCGGATACGTGCACGAACCTATATGTACAGTTCGTGAAGGAAAACATTCGTTCCTCACTGTTCTGTTCATTGACAATGTTGTATGTAAGTGGAGAGCTGAATAATAATATAATGTTTCATTT